TTCCGACGTGGTCGCCGATCTGAAGCCCTTTGGCCCGCGCTGCAAGATCAGACCCCATTCGAGAGTTGGGAAGGAAGGGGCCTCGGAAGGAAAAGGAATCGTCATCTTCTGCTGCAGCTGCCTTGACACTGGCACTGTCGTCAGGCCGAAGTGACTCCTTTTCATCAAGAGCAAAAGTAGTTCCCGAGGTGATGCTCTTGCCGTCCAGGCTAGCCGGCTTGGTGCCGAGCTCTGAGTTGGAGTCGGCGCGCTGCGACTCATCGGAGCCATCTTTGATTGCAGACTTGAAACGGTCGATGGGATGCGAGCCGCTGCCATTCACGACCAAGCTGGGAGTCCTAGCTCCGAACTGTACATCTTTGAGGCCATTTGCGACAGGGTCATGAGCGAGGGGCTTCATTTGGGACCCAAGTTCTGGTGCCAGGGCTACATTGTTGGAGCTGGCGTCGGTGGTAGAGCAACTCCCATTCGCAACAGTATCATGGACGATGGTTGTTGTGGCGGTATCGGCCTGCTTCGTCATGGGGTGGGCCTGTTCTTGGCCAAGAGGAGCGGCGGGTCGACGGGCTGAGGTGAGGGGCGCGTTTTCTTTCGAAGCAGTCGCTGCGATCTGTACACAGAACAGTTCGAGTCAACACAAGCTCATGTGTGAGGGCCTGGTGACCCAGGTATTCGGACTTGGAGTGCTCGAGCTTACCTTCGCAAATGATGGCTTTCGAAGGCCAGGGGAAACCTGTGTGGTCTCCATTATGGGGCCTGGGTAGTTGTTGTGTCTGCGGCGAGTCGTATGTGGGGTGTTGGCCACGACGTAACTGCTTGCTCGAGCAGGCGGTCTTGCAAAGCGAATCGAAGAACGTGGTCCCAGAAGGAGGGGATCAAAAGACAAGATCCGAAATCAAGCACACAACTGGATCGAGGCAGACATGCGGTACGAGAGGGAGGTTCCGTGAATCATTGTCGAGAGAACAGGGTCATGATCGCTCAGCGGGGTTCAATGGCAATACCGATGCCGGGTGCTGCTTCGCGCCAACGGCGGGTTGATCGCCCGGTGCTTCGCAAGCGAAGATGGTTGTCTGTCCGCGACAGTCAGCAAGGATACCAGTGGGCGCGATAGAGAACAATGCCAGGAGGGGACGAAAGAAAGAATGTGGGCGCACAAGAACTGGAACAAGGCGACCAGAAGAGGAGAGCTGAGGGAAGACACAGCTTGTCGCAGGAGGACGGAGTGCAGGTCGTGGACCAGGCCGCCCGAGCACAAACTCCGACAAGCTGGGGTGATGGGAGGGGGGCAGAATAAAAAGAGCCGCTGTGACTTACCCTAAAGTGGTTGTCTCTCAGTTGGTCGCAGCCGTAATGGTCTGTTCAAGATGGCACAATGAGAACGTATGTGTCGGTTGCGTATATGATGGATGATGGGGTCAAGCAGGCGCCATTCCCGTATGTTGCTGCAGCCGCAATGTCCCGTGGTACGGCAGGCTGAGGTTGCAGGCGACAGGCGACAGGCGACAGGCAAGGTCAGAATTTCTGGTGAGGACCGAGCAGTGGATGAAGATGGATGTCCCTCCGCACCTGGTTGGTGAGAGACAGTAGGACTGAGGGACCCAGCCCACCGCCCGCCTCATGCGGCTTAGCGTCGGTAGATTCTGTGGCGGTGCATATTCGTGGGTCACGTTGAGCCACAGAAGCCTGCCTCACCTCTTCTCGAGGCAAGAAACAAGGCAAAAAATGGTGGCACTGTTGCCTGCCTGTAGCCTCGCTCGACTTGGTATCCGATGACATGAGTGAGGCCGACACAGATTTCACTCTCCCACACTACCAATCAAAACCCACCCTGCTTGATACTCGCCCACACCTGTCAACTGCCCGTGTTGAGGCTTCTTGAACACAGCAGACCTCACATCGGTCGACTCTCAGACGCAATATATTCTCGTTCTCAAGCGACACCTACAACGCCAGGCCACGCAGCCGACGGCGTGATAGATATTCACCATGTACAGACGCCCACCAGGACCACGCCAATCAACTCCCGCCAATGTTTGCTGCCAAAAGTGCCTCAAACGAGATAAGTCACTATGTATCCTTCGTCTTGGGTCAAAAACTGACTCCCGTAGCACGACACTACTCTTACGAATGCAAGGAGCCAGCCCAAGCCAGACCTTATGTTCCAAGGCCATCGCGGACACAGCAACTCCGGGATCCCAAGCTTCTCCCCAAACTGACCGAGGCAACCCCGAATGAAGCTGAGAATAAGTGAGCATCATGAATCTTGCATAAATAAATACCGAAGCTAACATGTGTGGCAGAAAAGGCATCGCAGATGCGGAGCTGGCCAAGAGAGAGCTGAGCGGGAGCGTCAAGCGGGCGCTTGAAGGCACGCGATGCGGACTCGGGTGATGATGAGCTTCGCCGTCGCAATCGCTCAGCGTCGATTGACTCGGTCTCCGCCATATCTACGGAGCGTTCAGCTTCACCGCCCACCTCCGAGGCGATCGCCCTCCCCGGTAGCGTCTAGACGAAGGAATCGATCTCGAGACGCTTCGCTCGATCGCCGCCGTTCTCCGAGTCCTGGGAGCGACAATGGACAGCATGCGCCACACCGTCAGAAGCCGGCCCGGCGCTCTAGGTCACAATCAGAGGCACGATCACAATCACCGCCCAGGCACAGGAGAAGGTCGTTTTCAAGGGATAGCCGCTCACCTCCTGCGAGACAAGACCGCAGATACCGCGAAAGGGACTCGGACCGGCCGGCCGCAAGTGAGCGAACGAGGCATGATCGTCGGTCTCCGTCGAACTCGCCTCCGCGAGTCCACCAGGGTGATCGTAGGAGGTCACCATTTCCTCGTTCGAGTCGGAACACCCGCATGGACGCTAGAGATGCACAGCCAAAGCAACAGCGCGTGCCTCAGGGAGCCCCGCGGGAGCGAAGCCTCAGCCCCTTCAGTCAAAGACTAGCCCTGACGAAAGCAATGAATGATGGGAGATAGAGCAAGGAAAAACCAGAGGAGCGTCGTCGATACCGATGTCAGTTGTCACTCTAGGCTGAGCGCTTGCTTCTATTTACTGAATGAAGCCGATGCGTGTCCCGTTTGTGTTGTGGTAGTGCCGCTCGATGTTCCGTCAGTCTACTCGCGCCCCCGTCTCACCTTGTTCATACATGTATGTTCTGCAAATGTGAATGACGTTCAACCAAAAACAGGTCGAAAAAGCGGCCCAAGAAATGGACAGTCTGATAAACGTGGGCAATCCCGCGTTCGAGCTGCATAACCAGTTAGTCCGAGGTTTGTACAATCCATTCGCCAAATAAGCCCCTAT